TTTAGACACACTCCAGTTTCTCCACATCCTTATTCAAGTAACATCAAACTATCTATGAATTTTCTAAATTTCATTTTCTCATCAAGGTCCAGGGACCCAAGCTGTTTTTAAGGTGTGATGGTTAGAATTTGCCAACATCCAGAGACATGAAACCTCCTTAAATATAAAGATTCTTACAAGCACACTTGTGGCTTACACCCAAATAGGTATGCATTGCATAGATTGCAGGGAAGCCTTTATTTTGCCTGGGCAGGTTCAATTACAACAGCTTGAACATTTAGTACACTTCTGATTGATAATTCCTGAGACTCGGCTACATAGGAGTCTTGGTGATCATTTTGCCAGATTATTCCCCACCACACCTCTCACTGCCAGCTGTAACATCCATGTCAAGGTCAGTAGCTCCAAACAATCTGCTTACCTACAGCAGAATGATATTACATGATTTTTTGCATTTTAAAATGAGTTCCAGCAGACCTTGGCTCTTAGCCTGCTATATCCTTTTCTGGCCAGCCACTCAGATGAAACAGGGAAATGTGGTACAGATGGTATTTTACTGCTTGCAGAGGAAAAGAAAACATTTATATCTACCTTGTTCCCAATGAGTTATGATCTGCAGTTTCTCCAAGCAAGGATTTCAATCACCCCCATTGTGGCAACAAGATCTTTCCAACTCTCAAGGCTATCATCACTTTTCATTTGAAACTGACAACATATTGTATTCCTGTGCCAGATGTTATGAGCTTACCATGGCTTGTTTAAGTTGGGATGACTTCTGTGCTATAACTGGCAAAGCCCTACAAATCAAATATTGTTTTAGAAAAATAAAAATTATTAATTATAAAAGTACCCTTGAAAGATATCAGCTTTTAAAATGTTCTGTCTTCTCTCTCCTCCTCTCACTTTCTCTCTTTGTCCTTAGTTTACTTCAGTTGCTGCAAACTGAGTTCAAGGTATAAAAGTAGTTTGCACTCAGTTAACTCAGAATGGAGGAGAGGAGCAGAGAAGGTAGAATCTTACCTTCCTCAGTAGGCTCAGGCAAAAGCCAACTGCTGCAGCCTCTCTTATGTTCTATGTTCTATGTTCTTTCCCCTTCATAACTTTTGTCATCTTGACCACACTCTGATGTTGTGTGGCTCCATGCATCCCACTTTGCATCTGTGAAATGTTGGAGAGTATGCAATAGCTGGCACACAACAATGCAGACATTCTGAGATTTATAGTTTTTTGTGGGTTTTTCAGGCTGTGTGGCCATGTTCTAGAAGAGTTTCTTTCCGACGTTTCGCCAGCATCTGTGGCTGGCATCTTCAGAGAAAACTGAAATGGAAGAGCATGGGTCTATATATACTGTGAGACCCTGGGTAGGGAGGAGTGGTTCCCAGGTGAACTGTGTGTTCTGAGATTTCTTGGGTGTCCTCTTGAAATCCTGGAGTATGACACAATTGTTGGGCACCTACTCCTGGTACACAACAATGACTTCATCCTCTAGAATTTCCAGAAGACCTGGTTTTTATCTGTGAATAGTTGGAAGATATGCTTAGGAGGGGCATTTCAACCTTTCAGAATAGAGTGGGGGGGGGGAAGCCATGTGAAATGGAGTGTATGTAATTCTTGAACAGGAATTATGAAAATTCACTGTTGTGATAGTTGCAATCTTAATGTTAATTCTGAATATCAATCTGGTCTTCCCATCAAAGATATCTGTGAGGCCTTCATGGGCCTTTAACGAACATTTTTAATGACATTCAATTGCTGGCAAATGTTTTTCTAGGTGGCTTCAAATCCAGCCTTTGGAAAGCAGCATCCATCAGAGCTGAGAATAAGTAGCAGAGTGAAGAGTTTAACATAGGACCTTATCCCACGGGGCCAAAAGCAGCAAGAATCCACTAAGAATCAGGTGCTATAGCGCTATACATTCCCGGGTGATCACACGACGTCGCTCAGAATCGGCTAAGAATCAGGCGCTATAGCGCTATAGTTTTCCGGGCGATCACACGACGTCGCTCAGAATCCGCTAAGAATCAGGCGCTATAGCGCTATAGTCTTCCGGGTGATTACACGACGTCGCTCAGAATCCAACAAGAAACCGCTCGGAATGCAGCATCATTCGGGTTCTTTTGAATGTCAGTTTCAGCGGGCATTGCAATAGCGCTAGCTTATCCATAGCGCTATTATAGCACTAGCGCCATATTTATACTAGCGCTATAGTACTGCAATGATGCTCATATCGCTTTCTTGCCACTTTTGAGAGCAGCGTGGGATAAGGTCCATAGGGTTGCCAGATGAAATAAGGAACAGGGTCCCTGCACCTTTAGTGGCTGTGTACAAGAAGGAAAATCAGCAGGTGTTGCCTATTACTGGTTACATGACAACCACCACCTGCTAGAATTCACTCTTCCTCATAGTCATTAAAAGTACAGGAGCCCTGCCCTTTATTTAACTTGGCAAACCTGTAAAAACAGCGCAAAACACAATACTCCTTGTTACAACAGCTCCATTGGCTACCAGCCTTTTTCTGGACACAGTTCTAAGCACTGATTATGTTTTCTAAAGCTCTATACAGCTCAAAGTCTGGTTTATGTGATAGACCATATTCTCCCACACCAGCCTACCCAAAGTATGAGATCCTCACGGGAGGCCTTTTTCTCTGTCCTATCACTTTCACATCTGATAGGAAAGCAGGAGAATGCCTTATCAGTGGTTGTTCCCAGGCTCTGGGTTTCCTGGAAAGGCTAGACTGATTTGCTCCTTATTGTTTTTCTTCTATCAAGTGAAAGCTTTTAAATGTGTGCTGATTTTAAGATTTGTATATAGTCTCTTAATGCATTTTAATATTTTCAATGTTTAATTTTTTAATTTCATCAATTGTTCAATGTTTTTTAAATATTAAATTTATACTGTAATGTTTTTGTATAGTCTTTTATTTGTATTGTTTTAAATATGTTGCTAGCTGTCTTGAGTCCTATTATTGGGAGAAAGGTGGAATATAAATGAAAGAAGGCTTTGAGAAACTGGCTGCTTATAAGGAAAGAGTTTAAACAGTGTGCTATACCATGTGTGTGTGTATTTGTTGTCATTTCCAAGTTGTTTCCAACTTATGCCAACCCTAAGACTTATCATGGGGGTTTCTTGGCAAGATTTGTTCAGAGGAGGTTTGCCATTGCCTTCTCCTCAGGCTGAAAGCATGTGATTTGCCCAAGGTCACCCAGTGTGTTTCATAGCCAAGCTGAGAATCGAACTCAGGTCTCCAGAGTCATAGTCCAACACTCAAACCACTATGCCACACTGACACTCTCTCTCTCTCTCTCTCTCTCTCTCTCTCTCTCTCTCTCTCTCTCTCTCTCTCTATATATATATATATATATATATATATATATATACACACACACACACACACACCATGGTTTGAGTATTGGACTATGATTCTCTAGACCAGGGTATGATTCTCCGCTCAGTCACGGAAACCCACTGGCTGACCTTTGGTTACTCATACACTCTCAGCCCCAGAAAACCCTGTGATATTCACCTTAGAGTCTCCATAAGTGAACTTGAAGGCACACAACAACAACACCATTGCTATTTTTTAACATTCTCAATAAAGCTGTTCCAAATTTTAATTCTGTAGATAGTTTATTTTTTAAACATCTAGATGGTTTTAAACATCTGGATGGGTTTTTAGCATTACTGTGTGTTTTTTAAAAATAATAATAATTGTAAGCTGCCTTTTGTGCCAGTTCTGGAGGGAAAAGAGAAATGGTTTTACCATTTGAATGGCAAGACAGACAGAACTTTGGTGAGAGCTGTTAGTTGGCTCACATGCTTTGGGATGTGCCCTCCCTTTCCTTCTCTGGAACTCTGATGGAGGAAGTAGGTGTGCTGCTTGTGAAGGAATGTATTATGCTTTCATTGTATTAAATAAATAAATAAATATTCTGTTCATATATTTGTAAATAAAGCCAATATTACATGAGAACCCAGTGTTTTCTTATCCAAAGGCAACCAAGCACTGTGAAGCGTAATACCCTGCAGAGATACAGAGCAGGGAGTACTTATACTACTTCATACTGACCATTACATGATTCATACTGATTTCACAGGTATTTGCATGGAAGTAAAGCTTGCATGCCCTGTGGTGCTTTGTAAAGCACAAGTGAACATAGGGAACACGCTGTAAAGTAATCAGGCTTAGCTTCTCAGGATACGATGATAATATTTATGTGAGCTTTCAAGCAGTGGCCCTTTTATGGTAGAAACTTTAGTCAGTTTTCAAACATACCAAATGCAGGGATTTCAAGTAGCTCTCAGCAGCTAAATCATCCTGCCATTTTTCAAAAGATCAGTGACTTTCCTTGCACAAAATCTGTGACATATTAAAAGAAACACACACAATGGCCATTGAAATGGATTAGTTCATTCTGAACAGCTATGGGAAATGACTGGAAGGTTTTAGAAGCTATCGGCAAAGCAAAAACAAAAAACAAAACTTACTTACTTACTTACACCAAGGTTTTTAAGGAACATATCAGCGATTCATTACACACCAGATGCCCCTCATATCAGAAAAAGCAAACCCATGAGATTGCATGAAACTAAAGGTTACTAGAGGCTTACACACACCTATATAGACAGTATCTTCAAATAAACTAGGCATGAAGAAGACTTCCAAATTTGAAAAGAACAGGGGTTAGGAACCATATGGCCATCCTGGGATCTCCAACTATTCCTCTTCAGTTCCCTGATAAAACCTTATAAAACCTATCATTTGACGATGTCCCAGATTTCTCCCTATTCTTAAAGGTAGATATGCCCCTCTAAAGCATATCCTCCAACATATCACATATGAAAATTCTGAGATATGTGGCCAAGCAACATCAGAGCGAGGCTGAGATGGCAAAAGTCATTGATGAGGAAGAACACATAAATTAGGACTGTGACTGTGTGCAGCAGTTTGCTTTTGCCAGAGTCTACAAGTAAGGAAAAGATTCCTCCTCCTTCTCCTTCTCCTCCTCCTCCTTCTCCTCCTCCTCCTCCTCTCCCTGCTTCTGAGTTAATTGAGTACAAAGTTTTGTGGGTTTTTTTGGGCTGTGTGGCCATGTTCTAGAAGAGTTCCTTTCTGACATTTTGCCAGCCTCTGTGGCTGGCATTCTCTGAAGATGCCAGCCACAGAGGCTGGCGAAACGTCAGAAAGGAACTCTTCTAGAACATGGCCACACAGCCCAAAAAAACCACAAAAACTATGGATGCCAGCCATGAAAACCTACAACTTCACATGAGTACAAACTACTTTTGCACTTTGAATTCAAGTTTGCACCAACTAAAGTGAGCACAAAGGGAAAAATAGGAGAAAGAAACTGATAAAACTTCCAAGAGCAGTTGGAAAACCAGTGGCGTCACTAGGGTTGGCATCACCCAGCACAGTAACTCATGGTGTTAGCCTTGCCCCCATTGATCTCCTCCCATACCACACCATACAAAATTCTTTGTAATGTTTTTTGTACTAATGTTACTAACGGTATAATTCTCATACATCACAAAATGTAATGGCAATAGATGTGACATAAACAACTAGCAAAATTAAAATTATACCTTTACATTACTGTGTATACTCATGTATAAGTCTAGATATTTTTCTCAAAAAAATGGCCCAAAACACCTGAGTTGACTTATCCACAGGCCAATGTAAGTAATTTACTTTAACTCTTAATTTTACTTTAACTTTTAATTTTACTTTAACTCTTATTTTAAAAAAGAAAGCATCCCTGGTGAAAGGCAATAATGTAATCTGTCCTGGAAACACTGACCCCCCCTCTGCTATCTCAGCCAGCCAGCCTTTAAGGTGATCACAAACAGTTATGCCTGCTGGAATTTTGTAAGTTCTTTGGCATTGTTCTCCTTTGCTTCATTCTTTAAATCCTTTGTTACATGCCCCTAAGTTCTACCCTTGACTTATCCACAGTTCATATCAAAATCCATAATTTTGGCTCCAAAACCAACCCTTGACTTATACATGAGGTCAACTTATAGCTGAGTATATACTCACAGTATACACGTATTTACATGTACATAGTTTTATATGGTTAAAGTGAAAATTTGGTAAGATGTGATATTTTTAAAGAAAATGTAAAAAAATTAAATGTTAAATAATTAATTTTATTTTTTAATTTAAATTTTTTTTTAAAACCTCCCCTTTCTTTTCCCACTGAGACTCACTCATACCATCTCTTCAGCATTTTAAAGGGACAGCCCATTTCTGCCAAAAGGCAGATATTTGGAGAACAATGGTACCATTCTTCCCATGATGATGTAATCGCCATCCAGTTTTCAGCACTTCCTCTTTCTTACAGTCTTTATTCCTGCATATGTGTATCTGTGTGTTTGTTCAAGTCACCTGTCAACTTATGGTGACCCATATTCATAGGGTTTTCTTAGGCAAGGAATACTCAGAGATGGTTTTGCCAGTTCTTTCCTCTGAAATATAGCTACAGTGGTCTCCCATCCAAGTACTAATCATGGCTGACCCTGCTAAGCTTCCAAGATCAGGTGGGATCTGGTGCCTTTACTGTATTTGCATACCCCATTCAAATTCCATGTAGGGGTTTTTGAGATCTGGAGGTGATGAAATCAGGGGGGAAAAAGGAGGGAACTGGAAGTGTTGCTGTTGGGAAGGAAGATTACACATGCTTAAGTCTGGATCCAAACCCTTATTTATTGAGGGTATAGAGATTTAGAGATATAGAGATTTTTAAAACCAATCCTTCCCACCAGGCAGCATTAATACTTCAAGGGCTGGAATGCATTCCAGAAAATGAGAGCATGAATGTAAACAGTCTTTTGTCTGCCAGCAAACTTAAAAACCAAGGTAATGAGTTCTGCCCATCGGGACATTTCAGAGGCTCTTTTGACAAATATGACTATGTTCAGACATAACTTCAAATGTTATCAGAACAAACAGGCAAGGGCCTTAGGTTTATGAGTACAATTTTGTACACACTGCATTTTTCAGAGCTTGGAAAAGTTGCTGCTTTAGACTATAGTTTCTCTAATCCCCAGCCAATTGCTGACTTTTAAATGAATGGGGATTGTTTTCTGTTGGACAAGCTAGGAGAACATGGTATTGACCAGTAGTATTCAGGTTTTGGAGCAAAAGACACATACATATAGCTAACCTCCTTTCCTTGTCCTGTCCTAGTGCCATTGCTCTTCAACATTTGTATTAAATACTTGATGACAGGGTGTAGGGAATCCTTATCAGGTCTGCAGATGACACAAAATTGGGAATGGTGGATATCACATCAGAAGATAGGAAAAGAACTCAAAAGGACCTAGATAAACTAGAAAATTGGACAGAAATTAATAAAATGAAATTCAATAGAGACAAAAACCAAATGCACAGTTATAGGATGGGGGATACATGTCCCAGTAGTACGACATGCAAAAAGGACTTTGAGATTATTCTTGTCTATGAATTGAACATGAGTCAGTAGTGTGATGCTGCTGCAAAGAAGGCAAATGCTATTTTAGCCTGCATTAATAGAAACATAATTTCCAGTTTGAGGGAAGTAACAGTCTCACTACACATCCTGCAATAGTCAGGCCTCATCAGGAGTACTGTGTTCAGTTGGGGTGCTTCATTTTGAAAAGGACAGAGTTCAGACAAGTAGATTCAGAGAGGGGCAATGAGATATGGAGAACAAAATATACGAGGAAAAGCTGAAGGAGCTGGCCATGTTCAGCCTGGTGAAGAGAAGACTGAGGGGCAGTGACATCTGCACCAGAAGTTAGGACCCGGTCTAATGGTCTGAATTTACAGAAGAGTATATTTTGATTGAACACCAGAAGGAACATCTTGAATGTAAGAGTGGTTCAGCAATGGAACCAGCTGCCTAGAGTAGTGGTGGGCTCTCCTTCACTGGACATCTTCAGAAAGAAGCTGAGGATGCTTTAGCTGATGATTCTGCTTTAAGCAGAGATTAGATTTGATAGCCCATGAAACCCCTTCCAACTCTACAATTTTATGATTCTGTGACTTTATGCTTTTACCTAAATCCACTTCTCTGGTGCCTTCCCTTTTCCATGTTGGGAGAATCATTGCCATGTAGCCTTCCCTTTTCCATGTTGGGAGAATCATTGCCATGTATCATATTTTGACAGCAAGCTGATAGATACATTATATTCAACATGGAAAGAAATGATGTTTACTATCCTACTGACTATAGTCAATATCATATTTAATGTATGTGCCTTCAAGTTGCCTATCAGCTTATGGTGAGTATAAATTTCATAGGGTTTT